CAGCAGCTCCAGCTCCTTCCTGTGCTGGGCCCCAGGGCTGGAGTGGGGCACAGGGGCAGAATCTCCCCCTGCTCTGCTGCCCACACTGGTGGTTTCTGGGTCCCAGTACACAGGGCTGGGGCATGCCCAGCCCTCACCCACCTGCACCCCCAGGTCCTTCTCCCAGGGCTGTTCTTGATCTGCTCATCCCCATCCTGGACTGATCCTGGTGGTTGCCCCAGTGCAGATGCAGCATTAGCACTTGGCCTTGTAGAACCTCATGAAAATCCCATGGGTCACTTCTTGAGCTTGTCCAGCTCCCTTTGGTTGCCAACCCATCCTCCAAGTGTGTCAACAGCACCAGTCAGCTTGGTGTCATCCACATCCACTTGCTCCTGCAGGGAAAGAGCTTTCTCCTCAGAAAGCATTTACCCTACATTCCTGTTACACAGGGCTCACTTCAGCCCAGGCACTCTTGATGAAAAGCCAAACCCAGTGAAAACCAGGCTGAAAGCTTTTAAAAAGCCCTCATGCCTAGCAGCTCTCATCAACAGGACAGAACTGCTTCCTTTAGGAAAGGAAAATGCCTCTCCCTTTTCTACTTCTGTTTTTCCACCAAGTGACCTCTTCCTTCTGGCATTTGTTTTAAAAAGTAAGGAAAATGTCAGCTTAGCCAGGCCCCAAACCAAAGCTTGTTGAAGTCAGGGGAATGTCTCCTGCCACCTGCACATGGAGCACACACGAGAACCAGTGGTAACATCACAGAGATGGTGCTGCAGATCCTTTACCACCAAAAGGAGATCAGGGCCCTGCAGTGCTTGAATCCACTCAGGTGGGCTCACCTCACCCTCAATAACTAATGAGCTGTATGGAAACAGGGGAACAAAATACAGCTTGAGTCTAAAGTCTCTTCTCCCAGATGACAAGCCATGGGACAAGAGGAAATGGCCCCAAATGGCACCAGGTCATGTTTAGATTGGGTATTAGGGAAAATTTCTCCACTGGAAGAAGAGGCATTGAGACAGGCTTAGAGCTTTGTCAAGACTTGTAGACAGTGTGGACAGGAAATGAGCACACAGCTACAGTGAGAAGACTCAAAACCAGACCAGAATGTGGAAGATAGACATGTAAAAGATTAAGGAGAAAACCTCTCCAGAAAAAAAGGGTCAAAATCCCCTGCTCCCTTGCTGGAAAGGCATTTTAAGTGACTAGTGGGGCTCCCCAAGCTGTCTAAGCACTGTAGTGTCAGACTGTAGCTGTTTTCTTAATAAACTTGGTAATTGGCATGAAAACTCACCCTGAACTTGAGTGTCTGGTTTCCTTCGCTCAATAAGAGCCTCTTTCCTCTGAAGTATGAAAAAAAAAAAAAAGGAATGAACGTCTGGCTGCTACAGCCAAGTCCAATTTGCTGGATTTACTGTTAAATGCTGAGTTTTGAGACTGCAGTGGGATCCAGAAATGTTAAAAAACAGCAAGCTCCTACTCCTTTGCCACTCAGCAAACTTCTACCTAGGAGAAATTACAATAATAAGTTGATAAAAGCAATTAAATACACAACTCCCAGCAGGGATGAGAAAGAATTAAGAACATACACGGAGAGCTCTGGGAAGGTTTGAATCAGCCCCTGTGCACCCAGCACACTAGAAATCATTTCTGCAGCAGGGTGGCTCCAGAGGAGGGGCAGCACTCTCAACAGAGTCCAAAGTCTCCAGCACTGTCAGCCCCAGAGGGCTGAGTCCAGATTCTATTCTTAATACCCTGAAAACCCAGGTTTAGAACTATGAGATATGATTTCTACTTTAATTTGAAACTACCCACACATTTGGCTCCTGAGCTGAGAAGCTGAAGAACACACACACACAAAAAAAAAGTTCTCCATGAAATTGTCAATACACACTGAGAGCAGAATTCCCAGGAGGCAGCAGGCTTTCTCCCCAGCATCATGGGTATGCAGCACCACAGCACACACAGTCTGCTCCCCCTGCAGCATTCCTGCCCTTCTGGCTTAGCTCTCTGTGTCACTCCAGCCCTGGAGGTGGCCAGTCCCAAGGCAGTCAGCTAAGTCACCTAAGATCACCTGAAAGGCAAATTGCACCTGAGCCTGCCAACCTGGCTGTTTTCTGTCAGCCTTGACACCAGTAAAGCTCAGCACTAAGGGACAGGACAGGCACCTGCACTTTGTACACAGCCACACTGAGACATTCCTGCCATATTTTCCCAGCTCCTGCTTTCTGAGCTCACAGGCCCTCCCAAGCCAGCCCAGTGCAAGGACAAGCTGCAGCCCAGGCATGCTCTGAAAGGCTGTTGAGGGCTGCAGTACCAGGCACACAGTCCAATCCCACCATTTCCAATGACACAGCATCAATTTCCCTAACCCAGGGAGCAAAATCTGCCCTGCTCAAAGTGCCAGAAGCCCTGCTTGGGCAGCTCCTCTCAGAAATCTATTTTGCCATCTCTTATGATTCTGGGGACGATCTGTGCTCTCCACCACAGGTCTTCAGTGCATGTCAGGGCTTCTCCAGAGTGTCAGTGGTTCCAGATAAAGAAGCACAGTTGATTGCAAGGATTAAAAGGTTTTGAGTGAGGTCACCTATTTGAAAGTACAACTGAAAGCTGGACTTCTATTCTGTAGCAAGTACTGCCAAAGGGACACGAGTCCCTGCATCCTGTGACACTTCCATGCTATTGCCACTGGTTTCAGTGGTTTCACACTGCTATGCTGCTAGCAAGTTTCTTTCTTTGTTTTGTTTTTTGTTTTTTCTTTTTTGGTTTTGTTTCCAATCTTTAACATCTACCATCCCTTCCACAGACAACTCAACAAGACATTGCAGAAAACCTATAACCGTGTCAGAACCTGCCTGACCTAAATCCCTCTAAAAGGCTTCTCTTCCCTCAATTCCCACAGGCTGCTTTTCCAGTTGTGAGCAGGGATTGTTTCCAGGAAAAGCTGAATGCAGCACAGGGCTTATTTTTGCTTTTGACCATCATCTCAGGAGCCAGTCTAACAGCAGCAGCAGAATATTCACACCTAAGCGGAGAGAAAACTCAAAGCACCTGCCCATGTGGAACAGCCTTAAGGACCAAGACTTCCTCAAGATGAGAAAGGAGAAGCAGCAGGTCTCATTACAGCTCTGGGTGTTGCTGTGGGAAAGGAAGCCAGGAGGAGAGGAGCTCTCTTGTGATGAGTTGATTCTGGCTCCCAGCGTCAGCAGCCTGAGCTGGAACAAGGGAGACTCCCAAGCAATGAATCTTCTGCAGTTTGCCAGTGGTGAGCAAAGAAGCTTGGAATGAGTGACCTCCCTCTGCAATGAGGTAACAACCACCTTCTAATGAGGAAGGGCAGGAGGTGCCTTCTAGAATGAGACAGAACCTACTGGGAGGGTATTACAACCCGGGCCATTTCCCTGACAGAAGACAGCAGAGAGGAGCTGTCATTAAATCATTAAAGCAGGGCACACTGCCAAACTGCCCACAGCCCTTTCAGAAAGCAGGCCCCACCTTGCAGGCTATGCCTTCTCTGAGAGAGGTGTTGGATAACACCCTTTTCTTGACTCAGAGATGGGGCACCTGAGAGGTGCTTTAAAAACTTTTATTCCATTTTCAGTCTCAGATGTTATAATTCACGCTACCAAAATCAAAAGCCAACTATTTCCTAATTACAGTACATTATAAGTGGTTTTTGGCTTATCAGCTTTTTACCACACCATGCTATAGATGCCTTAAAACCAGTCATCTAAAACTACCCCTCGTGGATCCCACTAGAATGCATCTTTCATAGGTCTATTTAGTCTTATTTGTAAGGCTATTTTTTGAAACTTTTTTTTTAGCTCTATTTCTCTCTCAGCAATATCTCTCCTATTCCATGGCATTTCTGAATCAACATTTCTTGTCTCAAAGTTCATACACAAATACATCCTATGTGGGCCTTCTATCGGGCCCTGAGAACTCTCTACAAATCACAGAATAATGAGGTTGGAAGAGACCTCTAAGATCATCGAGTCCAACCTATGCCCTAACACCTCAACTAGACTATAGCACCAAGTGCCATGTCCAGACTTTTTTTAAACACATCCAGAGATGGTGATTCTACCACCTCTCTGGGAAGAGCATTCCAGTACTTTATTATTCTTTCAGTGAAATTTTTTTTCCTAATATCCAGCCTATGCCTTCCCTGACATAGCTTGAGACTGTGTCCTCTTGTTCTGTCAGTTGCTGCCTGGTGGAAGAGACCGACGCCCACCTGTCTACAACCTCCCCTCAGGAAGTTGTAGAGAGCAATAAGGTCACCTCTGAGCCTCCTCTTCTCCAGGCTAAACAACCCCAGCTCCTTCAAACATTCCTCATAGGGTTTGTGTTCCCAGCCCCTCACCAGCCTTGCTGCCCTCCTCTGGACATGCTCAAGCATCTCAACATCCTTCCCAAACTGAGGGCAAAGATCTGGACACAGCACTCAAGGTGTGCCCTCACCAGTGCCGAGTACAGGGGCAGAATGACCTCCCTGCTCCTGCTGGCCACACAATTCCTAATGCAGGCCAGGATGCCATTGGCCTTCTTGGCCGCCAAGGCACAGTGCTGGCTCATGTTCAGCCGGCTGTCGACCAGCACCCCCAGGTCCCTTTCTGCCTGAACTCGTCCAGCCACACTGTCCCCAGCTTGTAACGCTGCAGGGGATTTTTGTGGCCAAAATGTAGAACTCGGCACTTAAACTTATTAAACTTCATTGGGCCATTGGACTTTGCCCATCTATCCAACCGATCTAAGTCTCTCTGCAGAGCCCTCCTTCCTTCCAATAGATCAACACAAGCTCCCAGCCTCGTGTCATCTGCAAATTTACTAATGAAGGACTCGATGCCCTCATCCATGTCATCTATAAAAATATTAAATAGAACTGGTCCCAGTACAGAGCCCTGAGGGACACCACTGGTGACTGGCCGCCAGCTGGAACCCATTTCCCACAGGAGGTGGCTCCATCCTGCTCCCTGGCAGGCAGCCCTGTTGGTGTGCGCGCGTGGGCACCGTACCTGCGGTGAAGATCTGCGCGGCCACGGCCAGGAAGGCGTCGGACACCACGGTCTCGGAGTGCAGCGAGATGTTCAGCTGCCGGGCGACGTTCCGGTACACGTTGGGGCGGATGTACTCCAGCTCATCCCCTGCCAACAAACAGCCAGCGCTCAGCAGGACACACAGCACCAAGCCCTGCTCCCACCGTGGAGGAGTCACGGCTGGGCTCGCTCCAGGGATGCCGTCAGACAAAGAGTCTGAAGGCCAGCTCCACCTGAGTTTAGAGTTTAGGCAGCCAGTGGAGTGCTTAAGGTTGTTGAGATGCAATTCCCCACCATCTGTGTAATCACATATCCTCTGAACAAAGAGATATAGCTCTCTCCCAGGGTTTTCCTGGGAAGCTGTGAGAAAGCTCAAAGAAAGAGTGAGAAATAATTCTTATCTCCACTTGCTGCACCTGTTGTTGTGCACATGTGGAATGTGTTATGGAGATTTGTTTAGCAAAGGGTGATTTCTTAACTGGACTCTGGTGATGGCGTGTTGGATTCATTGACCAATTGGATCCACATGTGTTGTGACTGTCTGGCAAGGGCAATGGGTTTTTCTGAATAGTATGGCATAGTATTGTGAAAAATGAGTATTTTATGATTGGCTTTTCACAAATATTAAAATGGATATTGCATGTGTTATGTTAGAAAGTTATGCTGTATTAATTTTCTTAAGTAGTGTGTTAAATATAGTTTTAGGTTATAACATAATGTTAAAATAGAAACTATGCTATGCAAGGTAGTTTTTTTCAAAAGAGAGGAACGAGGTACTCCCACTGAGATAGCAGCCACAGGACACCTAAATCTTTCAGAAAAAATAATTTATTGTTCACTTATCAGAAGAAACTACTTCCCACCTCTGTTCAGCCCCGAGGATGCCGTCAGGGACACCTAAATCTTTCAGAAAAAATAATTTATTGTTCACTTATCAGAAGAAACTAACTACTTCCCACCTCGTTCAGCCCCGAGGATGCCATCAGGATTAAGAGATTAAGAGGAAGAAGTTGACGCTGACCAGACAGAATCCTTTGTTTGAATGGAATTTATGCATCATGTATGAGGTGTATGAATATGCAACAGGCTGTTGTTTTTAAGGGTTAATCCTCTGTTAATGTGTGTCCTTTTTCAGGCTTATTTTGCCTAGAAAGAGGTACCTGGACTGTCCCTAACTCTTTGTTCTTATTGTCTTGTATTGTCCTAATCCTAACTGTCCAAATTTTTATTACTCTAATTATATTACTATTTTTAGAACCATTTTATTACTATTAAACTTTTAAAATGTTTTAAACAAGCGATTTTCACAGTATCATATAATAAAGTACAATAAAGCAATTGATCAGCCTTCTGCAGTGATAGAATCAATGCTAGTTATTCCCCAGCAGGGACTGCTGCTATGATCCATCTGCACCCTGGGACTCCTAAAGGGAGCAGAGGCAGGCAGTGCCCCGTACCCGTGGTGTGGCTGCAGTACTCCCTGAGATAAATGCTGCTCCCAGCCTGGCTGCCTGCCTTTCCTCCAACACAGGAGACAGGCCTCAGATAAGCAAAGCCATGTCATTTTATTTAGAAGTGAGAAGGAGGCATGTACATCCATGTAAGCTTTTGAGAGATACGCCCTTCCTCAGCACCCCATCAGGCTTGTACAAAAATGCCTCAAGTGCAAGAGAGTGACTCAAGAATGCTGAAGGCTGATGAAAGCCAAGGATCCACCCAGGGCTGCACAACATTAATTAAACAAAGAGACTGCCAGCTATTTTATGCTCACACAGGCACTTGAGAGTCAATCTGGAGTTCTTTCTCCCCTCCAAATGGTTAAAGAGATGTTCATGTGCATGGCTGACTGCTCAGCAGCAAGGTATCTGACTTTCACCTCCAGAGTGCTTTCTGCCCAGCTGGAAAATGGCAGGAGGTGTTAGGCCAGCTTGAAGACCAAAACAAAAAACACCAAGGACAAGCAAAGAACCTCCTCCTAAAGGACTGAGCTATGGGAAACAGCAGTAAAGCTTTTCATTTTGTAGCAAAACAAGCCATTTTTTTGAGTAGTAGAATTAATAAAGCCCAGTTTCCAAGGGATTTCTCTCTCTGCAGAGGTTCATGGATATTTAATGAAGGTTGCACAGCTGCTGTAGGAGCAGGACACAGTGCAAACATCACATGGGGCCAAGCCCCTTTGTGCACAGGGAGCCCTTTTTGGCTTAGATTTAGGACACACCGTGCTCTTCTCCTGCACAAGGGTGCTCTGGGAAGAGGAAGAGGTATCCCAACAGCTTTATATATCCCACTTCAAGATCCAGGTGACTTGGCCCAGCCAGAGGGCAACTGATCGTCCTCAAAATTTCATTTATATGAGAGGTAAAAAGGAAGATGTCACTGCAGTCAGGACTTTTTTATAGAGCCATTAGCCACTGATCCTTAATTCATTTATCTGGCACTCAGCACAGGCAAAACCCAGAATTCCACAGCTGAGCTCTCCCAGCCCTTTCTGAGTAAGGGATTGTCCGTGTTTGACAGAAAGAGGAAACCTGCCAACACATGGTCAGCCCTGATAAGAGGAAACCTTACTTGGACTACTCAACAGCTGTTTTCTCCTCACAGGCAGCACACAGGCTTCCTGGTAAATGTCAGGAAATGGGGATAGCCCTGGTTAGCTAAGAGGGAGGCACAGGAGCCTGGGAGCAGCACTTGGTAGCCTGCCACTGCTCCAACTCCTACCAAGCAGTTCCTGGAGGCCCCAGATGAGATCAGGGTTTGGTTGGAGGCACATATGCTCTGTTCTGCAGCAAGGCACACAGCAGGCAGGAGCATCTGGGGAAGGAAAGCACAGGAAAGCATTCCCATGCTTGGAGAGCCTCCCTTGCCCAGCGGCCCCAGGACCTCTACATTGGTGCTGGTCTCCAGTGTCCTTGTTCTGATGCCCAACTCTGCAACATTTAGAGCAATTTGAGGGCTTCTCCTCCTTTCTCCAGTGATTATGGAGGAATTAGCAGGGCAGCAGGAGCAGTTTCCATGTGCAGAAGCTCATTGCAGTGGTCAAAGGGCACCTCCCTGGGTCTTGGCCAGAGGAAATACAAGTTCAGATAAACCAAGCCTAGGACAGACACAGCAGGTTGGTCTGGGGTGCCTCATTTGGCTATACCATTAGGTTTTACCATGTCTGACTCATTAATTGCATTAATTAGCTGCTAAGCCTCACTGAGCTGATGGAGTCTCCCTCCCTATGACCTCCAACAGCATTGCCTGTGCCCAGGACTTCTGCTGGTCCACCAGGCAACTCACCAGAGCCTCTGTGTGCAAGTGGGCTAGGAAATACTCCAACTTCCCATCTCCACAGGCTTCTCAGCACCACCATGAAGGAAAATACTGGTGCTGCTTGTTGCACTGCTCAGGAAGTGGCTGAGGATTAGCATTCCTGGCAGGTGGCTGGATACCAGCTGGCCTTGTGCTGGTTACAGCAGCAAAGGGAAAAAGAAAGGGATGGGCCACATGACAAGTGGAGTTTCCAAAGAAACAGGATGGAAACTATTCTTCACCTTAATGAGAAGGACTGCTCACCTTTCTGGTTGCATGGGTACCGCATGGTGCTCTCCAAACACACTTGCTTAGAGAAGGCACAAAGTTTGTGGGACTATCAGCCAAATCTGTCCATCTGGCCAATCCAGGAGATGCCTTCAAATCCAGTGAGCCACCTGCTTGCCCATTAACATGTTCCTGGCCACCCACAGAATATGGGGTTGAAAGCACATAAATCTCAACCCCCAATGCAGGTGGAGAAGAAAGGGAGTACAAATAGCCAGTGAGATTGACAGAAGAACAAGAAAATTCCCCCAAAGACCAAACAATCACTGGAAACAAAAGCAGAAATAAAATCAGCATAGAAGAGAAAAGGTGAAAAAGAATGAATTAAAAAAAAAAAAAAAAAAGGCCTTTAAAACAAACACAGCTGTGCCTTAAAAAGAAACTTGGGATTGTATCAAACTGGTAGAAAGGGGAGAAAGCGGGACCACCAGCCCTGGTCCTGACTTTGTTAGGCCCAGCTAATGCTTACTTCACCAGACCTGTCTGAACTCTGATGTAGTTAAATCAGATGCAAATGCTGGTGGTAGTTTCCAGATGTGAGCTAATACACCAGCCTGCAGGCAAAGAGGGATGTTGGAAGCAGCTTCCAAGAATAAAGGTGTTGGTTCCCAAATGACGAACAGCTAGACTTGAGCACACAGGATGCTACACAACCCAAAACAAAAGGCCAGGCAACTGTTAATATTTAAAGGGTGCTCCAGGTACAAGCTCTAAAGCATATCTTCATGTCACCAGGCATGACCTTCAAATTGCTCTCCCTGAATCCCCCAGAGTTGCTGTGTGAAGGTGACACCAAATGGCAGTGTATGCCAGACAACATCAATCAACTCCTTCCTGCTCCAGCAAAAACCAAGAAAACTCAGGTCTTGCTGAACGACCAAGGTAGGCAAAGGAAAATTAAACACACTGTCATTAAAAAGCAGCTTTTATAAAATCTCCAACAACACATTTTCTGAGCATCTACTCCCAAATTAAAGCTGGGTGAGCTACTGCTGAAGCCCAAGACCAGTGCCCTAGAAGATGCCAGATGCATTGTGGCAATCAAGTCACTCACTCTGGGGAAAACACTGCAAGTCCAGTTAAAACACCCAGCTGAGAAAGACTGCTCTAAGTGCTGTGAGAACTGTTACACAGCTGGAGACCTGTGCACACAGAATCAGCTTGCTGCTGGGCTTTCTTAGAGTGCTTTGTGATTTTGAGCCGTTGCAAGTCCTCAAAAAAAGGCAACTTTGCAGAAACCCTGTGCTGAGCAGCGCTCCAAGAGACTGAGGAAACTCAGGCAAAGGAGCTGTTTAGGGAAGATCACCAAAAGCAGAGAAGAAAGACCTCTGTATCAACACATGAGGAGACTCTTCCAAGAAGCCTTAGTCTGGTGCAAATCACTCCACCCAAGCTGAGCTCTCCCCATGGCAGGACTCACCAAGTCGCAGCAGTATGGTGGACACCTCGGCCAGCTTACCCCCGGGCACTGGCGCGTTGTACTCGGGCTTGCTCCAGCTGACACCTGCCTGGATCAGCCTTGAGTTGATGTAGTCTCTGCAGAGAGCCTTGGCTTGGGACACAAGCTCTTTGTCAGTGGGAGACCTGTCAAAAACCTCCATCACCTCTGCAGCAAAGACTGAGGAGCGACGTAGCACCTCCATGCCGGACTGCTGAAGCCGCAGCTCTGCGTGCACCGACTGGAGGCTGAGCCAAAGCCTGGATCAGAATCTGCAGGAGTTGTCCTCAAGGTCTGTCAGAGCTCCCAGCAGCTCTTCTCCACAGGCCAGTTTTTTAGCTGGCAAATAAAAGCATCTGTAAGTCCTCTAGCATTGCAAAGATGTAAATCAGAAGCTCAAGAACACAGTTATGCTGAAGTCAGTAGCGTCACATTTTGCAAAACATTTGTCTCGGTCCATCTTACAGACAGGGGCAAAGTCTTGCATCTTTCAGCCACTGACTATCCCTGACAGCATGGTCCACAGAAGGGCTCCAGTCTGGAGCTCTCAAGGTGTTTCCTCTTTTCCCATTCAAATTTGGCAGTTCTAGAATTACCCATCAGAGAGACTAGACAGTCAGAGCATGGAAACACTTCATAGAAATTGCAGACAATCTCAGCTTGTTTCAATTAAACTGGGAAAAAAAATAAAAAGAACCCCAAATACCAGTTACAGTAACCTCAACCAGATGTCAACAGACATTCCAGCTCAGTAGGTCACGGATCTTTCTGAAGAAATGGCACTATTGCAAGAACAAGGGTATGGGAGCATTGGAAATGCCTTGTTGGAGACAGTTTTCTGAGACATATTCTCAGTTTAGGTTTTGGTTGTGCCACGCTTTTTCCCCAAAACAGCGCGCATACTACTACTTGAAAACATCTAGCAATAGCAGAGAAAGCAAAACAGAAATGTAGATTTTTGAAAAGGTTTAAGCTGTGAATGCCTAAAGGGAAACATCAAAATTTCTTCAGAGGCACCTGAATTCATCTGCTGATCTGGGTTTTTAACCCAGTGCTGGTTTTGAAGTCAGAGTCAGACCAGTCTTTATTCAGAGGTTAATAAATGCATTTTTCAGTCTGCAGTTTCAGACATCTACTTACAATGACAATTTTCAAACAAAACACAGCCAGTTATCTCAGTTTGCCCAAGGAAAAATATATTTACCTCTCATGTTGCACTTTTCCCAATTCAGTGCTTTCTTTTTGGGTTTGGTTTCATGTTTCTTTAGAAGATCTGCATCACTGGACACCTGGTTTAGGATTCACAGGTTACTGTCACCCTTCTCTGGAGAGCCCCTCTGCTGTGCTTTCCCCAGGGCTCAGCCAGCGCCTCCTGCCCGCTCCCTGTCAGCACATCCCGGCTCTGCTCCACCGGGATCCTCGGCGCTCGTCCTCCTGCTTTTAAGGGACCCAGGCGCAGAGGAAAGCTTCTGGCTTTAGCCTTGTAAGGAAGATGAAATAAGCGGGAGGTGGGGTTGCTGTGCCCGGAGGGAGACGCTCTCTCCTCCCCTTCGGTCTCTCTTAAGGAGGCTCTCTGCCGTTCTGCGCTGCCTTCGCTCAAGGGCCCGGCTGCAGGCTGAGGCTGCGAGCATCATTGCGGGAGCCGCCAAACAGAAAGTGATGAAGGCACGGCTGAAACAGGAATAATTCCTGCTGGATTCCCAGAACAGCCTCTGCAGGGTTGATGCTGGCCAGTCCTTTTCGTACGGTAGCCAAGTGGGGGAATTGTACGCTGTCATATTCAGCGCTGGGTTAGTCCTACATTTCAATCACTGCCGTCATTTTGGACTGTGTCCCTGCCCATGCAGGGGGTCGAAAAGAGATGATCTGTAAGCTCCCTTCCAACCCAAACCATTCTGTAATTCTACAATGATTTTATGATTAACGTAGAGAGCCACAGCTCGGGGCTAAGGCAAGCAGTGCTTGCAACTCCCCCGAACTGTGAGTACTCTGGATAAAAAAAATGAAGTGGATTTGTTGATAGGAAATAGTTTATCCAGAATGAAGTGTATTGCAGGAACTTGCCCACTTTATCTCAATGTGTTATGAAAAACATGTCAGTGAGTCCCAATATATTTATAAATTAATTTCAACGTCAACTTCTTGTTGCAACATTATCACATTGATGCCACAATGTTCAGCTTTCTTCCATGTGCATGTGTGATACCATTCCATCTCAATAAACCACATACAAATATTGGCTTTTTGTGTTACCATTTGAAACAAAAGAAGTTTTAATAACAGAAGTTTCCTGCAGCCAAGAAATTCTACCAGACCAAACACAAGTTCTCCCCAATAACAGTTTGTATATTAACAACTGGGTATTGGGCATGTTTGAAACACAATTTTTCCTGAAGGAGGTCAGAAGTGAGATGTAACTGTTGTCATCTTGTTGCCTTTAAGAAAAGACAGAAGCAAGTGCACCTCTCCAAGGTGTTGAGCACATAAATCCCTCCAGTACAACGTGCACCAGTGCTGGTCTTTATCCCTCCAAATCGAGGGATAAAAAGGAACAAATGAACTGCATGAAAAAAACCTTTTTATGTGACGTACTGAACTTTCTGGCCAGCATCCAGCGCACAGCTCAAGCACAGATTAACACAAAGCATGTTGGCTGCTGTTGACTGGATTGCTGGAACCTGCTTTGCTGTCTTGGAAAAGGGCTGAGGTACCTCACACCCTTCAGCAGCAGATCTTCTTTCTGAGCTGGCTTTTTCAAGGGAAGGAGCAGGGTTAAGGAGAGGTACCTGCAGTGATCCAGCTGGGACCCCAGCTCAGCTCAGTGGGGTCAGGGTAAGATGCCAATAGTGACTGTGCAGCTCCAGCACCAGATGTGTTTGCTCCAAGGCTCTCTCAGAAATTTGTTTTTATCCACTAGCCTTACTGAAATTTAAATACAGAGAAAGGCCTACCCCACAGAAGCTGGAATCAAGACTCCAGAGATTCTGTGCTACTGCCTACCCTTAACCCACCTATTCCCTGCACAGTGGGCCTGATAGTGACTTGGAAAATTGTATTTCTGCCTTTGCCACCTTGATGGCTGAAAAAATTATTAAAAATTATGCCTTAGCTTCCTGCAGCAGCTGACAGCTTGACACAGGGGCCCTATCTAAACTGTTCCTCTTCAGTGGGGCTATGAAATGAGGAGGAATGCTTAAATATCAGTATTGCTTAACTAATGATACTTTTTCCCAGAAATCTGGCAAATATGCAAGTACCACAGTGCTTCCCAGCTCCCTGTGAGTGCCAATCTCATCCCACATGTGTTCCCTGCCCAACTGTCACAGCATGCAGCACCCCCTCAACTTCCACCCTGCAGCAAAGACACAAAACCTAGAAGCATGAGGGGGTTGTGTACAAAAAAACAGACTTTGTATTACAAAACCCCCACCCAATAGTGCACGGCATTCTACCTATATTATTTACACATTTGTATTAAAAATACAGTTTCACACTGAAAGATGCCTCAATAAGTAAAAACAGATGAAACCACAGCATACCTTGCTCAGCTGACCAGAAAAGAAGAGGGTGTTACAATCCAAGGTGCTCTCAGTGTCATCAGAGCCCTTTTTTTTTTCCATAGAATATTTATGCTTAGGGACTTGATCTATAATGGGAAGACCCCTGTGGCAAAGGAATGACAGGCAACAGTGCAAAAAGCAGTTTTTATCACCCCAAAACGCTGTTTCCAGTGTAGCTGTTGCTGGCATGACAGTGCTCCAGCTGGAACAGGCTCCACAGCACAGCTCCTGTCTCAGGTGGGGTGACCCAAACAGCTTGGGGCACTTCTTCAGTAAAACCAGGGGACCACAAGGATATATTTTATAAGCATGTCAAGTGGGAGCAAACCCTGGAGAAGCCACGTCAGAGAGAATACAGACAGAGTTTAATTGTGAACAGCTTCTGCTCAATATTAAGCAGTTCAACTGCTGGAGAAAGAAGTCTCTGGGAAGGCTTTTCAGCAGTTGTAGTTGAAGGAAAATACCCAGTGAATTGTGAGCACACTGCAGAGGGTATGCATGGCATAGATGCCTGCAAGAGCAAGAGAACAGCCCCAAAGGCCAAGGAGGCCATTCAACATCATGTTCTCACAGCCTGGCTCTGACTGGAGCTCGTTGTGTCTCACCTTGCAGAGTTATCCCAGCCACTTCACACAGCCTACAATCCCAGCAGAAGCTACAACACAGATGCCACATTATGAACACCTTCAGAGTAAGGACTTGGAGGAGCAGATGGTTGCCAAAGACATCCAGTTAATCTTCAGAGAGCCTGGGAACCAACCCAGCCTCTACCTGCTGTAAGAAATGTCCCTTCAGAGACAAGATGCTCTGGCAAAACCCTGGCACTGTAGCCAGACCAACTCCTTTTACCAAACCAAGCCTTCTGCATTGTCTCTCCCACTTTTAATGTACAATCTTATGTGATTTTTGCAGCAATACTTGCAGTCTGTGTTTGTGAAGTTGTCACTTACCTCTGCAAGCCTGCTTACAATTTCAGGCTTTGTGCTGCAAAGCTGTACAGGAGGGCAGGAAGGTTGGACAAAACACTTCTTTTTACATAGAAATATTTTGCCAGGAAAACAATACATGGAAGCAGCAGCTTAATGGGACCTAAGTAAAACACAGAGGCTTTTTGAACCTTTTTCTTGTTTCTGAAGGCCCTGATTCAAAGCCTCCTCAAAGCCATGCAGTTTAATCACTTGCTTTATGGGATCACTTTGGAGGGTCACATACCAGACCAAAGAGTCTGTGCCGCAGTCAACTTATTTTCCACAGCCTTTAGACAATTCACAATTCTCCTTCACCAGGATACAGACCTAGTGACTTAAACACATCAACTTTAACAACCAAACCACTGCTTTGGTTTCTGACGTAGACTAGCACTGATACCCAAGGCTTTCATCTCTTAACCCACTGCCATGCCCACTGTCACTACAGACACAACTTCTCTGTTATCCATGTGTTTTGACAAAGACAGACCAGAGATATGGTGTACTCCAGAACTGATGTACAAACTGGGTGAAGGAGAAATTGTAGCAGGAATTTAATTTCGGGGTTGAATCATAGAACATCTCTACCTATATTCCTGAATCTTATTCTGGTAACGTTGTCTGAGAAGAGTTTAACCCACTGTTGCTACTCAGGTAGCAGTTAATCAGCTGCTCACTGCATGACAGCAGCTTCTAGGTACATCTAGGACTCTGATGTGGCTGCATCATCTGCTTCAGAACCTATTTCAGTAAATATAACTGGTTTGTTTGTCTCGTCTCATAATTTGCTGCAAAGTGAAACATTTTACTGAATGGATCAATCACCTCATGGCCACGAAGGCAGCAAACACAAAGAAATAAAAAGTTTTATAGTTGTTCAGCAACTGTAGCTTTGTTTTGAAACACAAATATTTACCACCAAAAAGAAAACACCAGATGAGGTCACTGTCCCCAAGAGATCAGAGCTCTCTTCCCTTTCAAGCCCTAATCAACAAAGGCAGAGGGCAAACCTTTGTCTCATTCTAGCAACTGACCACCAACAAGGTTTGGGAATCAGTTCCCACTCACACATGGGCTACATGCACGTGGACAGGTGAAGACAGGAAGGTGCCTCTGCCTGCAATGATCCTGAAATCAGAGAGCCTGAAGTGGGAGCAGGCCCCTGTGCACTGGTTCAGCAGCATTTGTGAGCTCTGACGCGTTTACGCGCGGCTGCGAGACGTGTGCTGGCACACAGACGTGTCCTACATAGGCAAAGGGATTGCTGCATCTGATAACACTGGGCAGGACTCTACCCTGTGCACATCTTCATGCCCTAAACTTGCTCCGAGGGATTTAGACTCAAGTTTTGAATATTCAGAATGTAACCTTACTTGTAATTAAAGCCTTGGTGACTTTTGGAGCGCCTCTTCAGGCTCTTCAGTCAGCCTCTTCTGCTGGGCAGGGCAGCTGCTATGGCTTTCAAAACCTTTCTTTTCAATGTCTCAGACAAGGAGGTAAGGCTGATGTCTCAAGTCTGCACAGATCAAACTCGAGTGCATGGTTTGCTCATGCACAGTATTATACCCTACAGCACCTCCATTAGGATGCAGTTCCACTCTAAGTGCAGCAAAACATTTTTTAAACACTTGATACACCTCTAGACTTTGTGGAACTCCACATTGGCACAAGTTTTCCTCAAGGCTGCACTGGTTGACAAGAGTGACCCCTCTTACTCTGTGGAGCAGTATAGGGCCGTTTTACTCAGCAGCAGGGTCAGCTACAGCCACCTTCATTCATGTCCAGCTGCTCATACCAATTCCTAAATCATCCTTCCAAATTGCACTGTGATAATTTAGAGATTGCTGGCACTGTGGACTGGTTCAGGGAGCTGGTTGGTTTTTTTTCATCTGGATGTGA